TCTTTATATGGCGGTAATTAATGTTTGATTGGCTTAAAATGCCAACTTTTGAAAAAAAAACAAAATTATTACACCCGCCTTCTCTTCAAAGTTTTTACTGTACACTTTAGTTTTTGAATAATAAAAACGTTTTATCATTAAAAATGGCCAGCTCCGAGTTGTGACTTAAATATAATTGAGCATTTGTAGTAATATTTGAAATATAAATAATAAATAGATAATACAAGTAATGAAAACATTTTTATAGTGTGTCATGTTGTTTGTAAAAAATACATCAAAATATTAACAAGTAAGTTGAAAGTTATAATGAAAGGTTGAAATTGTGCACAAGAAAAAATTACAAAAATATTGCAAGACTAATACCCAAAGTACTTTAAATTATTTTTAATTATTATCATTTTTTCACAAAATCGTAACTGAAAAAATGACTCTTTTATGAAACAAGTTTATATTGTCGACTCTAAAACAAAAAACGGAACATGTTTAAAGAAATACCTTAAAACCCCCTTTTTATATATAAAAACACACTATTGTGTTTCGTTATAAATCTTCATGTCCAACTAGTCCACCAATATATTCAAAAAATCAGAATGAATGTTTAAGATCTGCGTATAAGCACTCCAATAAAATAGGAAAAAATTAATTTAATCATTGAAACAATATTTCAAATATTCCAATTATTATGAAAGTCTTTGATAATAACATAGCAAATAAAAATATTTTCAAACAATACCATTTTTCTCAGGTGATTATGAGTAGACTATCCATTATAACTTTTTGGACATTAAAGTATTCGCTTATTATAAATGTCTGTAAAAAATAATTTTTTCTTCAAAATATCATGCAATAATTAAAGAAAATAAGTCTTACATATTTACAACTTAGTAACAATAAAAGCTGTGCTGGATGAATAAAAAATGAGTACAACTTGATTTTTTTTCATATTTACAACACTTACAAAGCATTATATTTGTTCAATGGAACACAAGAACCACTTTTCAATGTAGATGAACTCGTTTTTTTCTGATTAAATGGATAAACATAACACTTTTGTTTATGTTACCAAAAAATAAAGAACTTGAGAACGTAGAATAACTCAAAATTAAAGTTTCTCATTTATATAAACGTTGCATTTGTATTGTTTGTGTTTCTTTTGTTTGTGCCTTTGTAACCTCAACAATTGTATTTACAAATAAGAAAATGTTCAGATTTTAACGCTGAATCTACGAGTTATGTATTTAATTATTCCAAAACAATGTTCGTTGGTATAACATTTTTTCAATTCTGGTTGTTCAACCATTTCATACCACAAATTGAAAGGACACGTAAATTGTTGAATTTTAAAAATAAAACAACCATCGTTTCATTAGATTATTTTAGGCCATATTCGCAGTGAAGTTACCCAATCTTCAAGTAAACATGACATCATTTTCATTATTTCGTTTCTATTTCGAGCCATATTGTCCAATTATCAAATGTGATTATTCTGTGTTGCCAAGCAAGCCCAAATACAAGAGGTTTAACAACAATTGAAGAAAGGTCAGTTTTTACAATCCTGACTAGCACAGTCGAACATAAAGACTTAACCACATATTTTAAATGATTTTATTATTTGATGTCTTCGTGTTCTTCTTTTTGTTTTTTTTATAAAGTTGACCATATCTAATTGTTTTTATAAAAAGTGTTTTTTCTTTATTTAATATGTTTTACTCCAAAAATAATTATAATTTATTAACATACAACGAATAAACGTTGTTATCTAACAGACTTTGTTATTTAAACAACAACAAAAAACAAATGAGTCGATTAAAATATATTGCACCCTTTTTTATTTCTTTTCAACGGCTTGTTTTGAGTTGTGATATTATTGACTTGAACATTTCCAGAGTTGACATTTGCTCTAATGTCTCTTACCAACCCCTGGAATGTTTCTGTTACCTGTTTGTTTTGTTTTTAGCTGAAGTCTCATAAAATAGTATTTTCCAGTCGTCAGCGACCTTTTTTGCATCTTCTGTAAACACCTGTCTCTCTGACTCTAAATCACATTTATTTCCACACAAAGCAATTGGAATGTGTTCACTGAAGTCTTTTTCGAGAACTCTGAACAATTGTTCTCTAAATGAATTTGCTTCTAAAAACGATGCCATTGAAGTGATTGAGTAAACAATGACATACCCATCACCAGACCTCATGTATTGATCTCGAAGTGCAGAGTACTCATCCTGTCCTGCCGTGTCCAACAAGTCAAGTAAAACCGTTTCACCATCAACAGAGATGTTTGTTCGATAGGAATCTTCAATTGTTGGATCGTATATTTGAACAAAGTGCCCAGAGACTAACTGGACTGTGATTGCTGACTTACCAACACCTCCACTGCCCAACATTACTATACGTTTCATTGACATTTTATTTTGGTTTTGAAGTGGTTTAAAACCTTTTTATAATGGAATGTAACTCATGAAAAGAAGGTGAGGTTTATATTTATAAACTATTTCTGTATAGCCTTAAAAAGAATAAAAAAATGGGATTTTTAGAATTATTAACTCCACCATTATGTTTGTGTTTATTTATATAATTCTTATCTATTATATATAATATAATATTCAATAATTAAGGTGTATTGATACTTCACCTCCCATTAATATCAATAAATATAATTCGATATAGTTCATCTTTATATTAATAAAATATTAATCAACAACATATCTAAATTAAAAATCTACAAATAAAACAACAATTGTTTTAATATAATAAATAAGAAGAAGTAAGAAATATGGCCCCAATGTTTTTACTTATTATTATTCAAACAATTTAGATTACAAAAGAAATTTGATTGTGACTTACCTAACTTTTAATTTTTGCATGACATTGAGTAGTCTTCCGTGTTAACCATCACAACGTACCCTTATGGGTTTTTATGTTCCAACTTATTAAGTAATTATTTTTACTGATGTTTAAATAATAACATTATATGTATAAAATTTTAGCAGAGAAAACGATTCTCGTTTAAAGAAAATTATTAAAGCCGTTGTTTTATAAAATAAACTAAACCGAAATAAAAAACACGTTTATTAAAACAATGAGTTAGATAACCAAAGATAAAAAACTGTTAAACTTAAATACTAAAAATATTACTAAAAACATTTTGACAAAAATAATAAAAAAATAATTGTTGAACAATCACTGTTTATTTAACAAAAACCAAAAAATGAACAATATTATTTAATAATATAATAATGAACCGGAAATGATAATTAAACAATAGTTCAACAAAATTGTTTTAATTCTGAAAAATATTATCACTTTTTATAACAGTTTTATATGAATTTTCCAACCAATAATATATTGGCAATATTTATCAAAATACATTACGGCTTTTTGTCTGCCTCGTGTTTTTTTATTTGAAGCTGCCTTCATTTTTATTATAATACAACATTATTATTTAAAACATGACCTATGTTTCGAAACAATAAATAGTAAACGATTAAGTGGTGTTCTTTTCTCTTATTCACAGACACAAAAAACGAAAGAAATAATACCGTTATTTTAAATGCATTGATTAATGTATGATTTAAACAAATTGACGATCCATTTTCATGATAGCAACATCACATAAAACGCAGAAAAAGGAAGCGTCATTACTAAACATCTCATGAAAGTGATGTACTATAATGTAAAGTTGGCAACAATAACAAGTTACATCAATATAAACACAAAATAGTCGCACCCACATTTGAAGAAGCTGACACCTTCAAATTTTCAACAATACTTGTTATAGTTCAAAAAGTAACTGATAAAATATTTAATTATCAATGGATGCTCAACAATTGTTTTATATTAATGCTTATTGTGTTGCTTTTTGTTTAATAATAATTGTTTAGTCTATAAATAAAGTTTTTATGTTACAATTCAATTTGTTTAATGTTTTTATTTTATGTTTCAACAAAAAATAAAAATTAATTTAAAATTAGGTACATTTTTATAATTCAGTACGTGTTTTTTAAAGAAAATAACAAGTAATTATTTAGTAATAATATAAATAGGTTGGCTAAAGTACATTTGCTAATTTGTCTAACTTATTTATTAAATACACAACTAATTAATCATTAAATGTGCGACAAATATCATTTATATGTTAAACTAAAATATAATGTTAAAAAGAGTAGAATTAAAGGCATATTGCCATGCAGTTATCTTTGTAAGTAATACCACACTTTTCATAGAATGGTTTAACCCTATCTTTGCAGTCAAGTATGATCTTATGGCAGTTATTGTTTCTCCCCAACTTGATTAACGTTTCAATCAAAAACTTCCCAAGACCATTCCCTCGACAAGTAGATGAGACGACGACATCTTCAATATGTCCAATGTATTTGCCACTGAAAATGAATTTTCTTTCGAGTAAAAGAGTGGCCGAAGCAACTATTTTGTTTGTTGTGATATCTTCTGCAACTACAATAAGATGATTATTATTTTGTTTCTATTAGTTAATTAATAGTTCTTTTAATTATAAATGACAAACCATTTCTTGAAACGCATTAAAAAACTTGTCTTGAGTTAAATGTACATGGTGACAATTCAGAAAGAAGTTGTGGGTATCCTTTGTTAAAATCTAAAATGTTCAAAAACCGAAAATGGTAATTTAGATAATCAGAAAATTCAAAGGTTGTTGTTGTGATAAAGTCCATGTACTTTTTTATATTATTATTAGTTTTTCAATAATAATAATATAACTAGAAATTATACAATTAAAAACTATATATTTAATTCTATTATTTATTATAATTGTTTTAATTAAAAAAACTATATTATATAATAATATTTTTTTATAAATTATTATTATTATTTTTTTTGACTTGTCTCTCAAAATAAACTTGTTTCTATAACAATTACCCAACAAACCATATTTGTTTTTAACGATTTGTTGTTGGTGTTCATTATAAACAATTTAATTAAATCAATTATTTTTTGAAATCAATGAAAATAAGTTATTAAAATGAAGACATATCAATTATTCCATTGAAGCTTTTAAACATAATCGAAATATGTCTTGTTGTGATTTAGAGTATTTTTATACTTGTTTATTGTTTTTGGTTTACAAATCAATTGTTTAAATGTTTTGGTTTTTGATACGTTTTCTTTTTATATTAATAACACTAAAATATTGACCAAATTTATAATGAAACATCAATTTATTTTTTTTCAAACCAATTGTTTCTGGGTCATTAAATTTACTGTTTTGTTACACACATTTTATTTTTTGGTATTTTCCATCCGAAGAATATGTAATTAAGTAATTTTCTAAAGTGTACATCATAACATTTTAACACTCCAATAGAAAATAACATAGTCTCTATAAATTTCAATCTCAAATGGTAATTAAACACCCATTTGTCAGCCATTTTGTTTTTATTTGTCCATTCTTTAAATAATAAACAAAAATACCAATGTGTCAAGAAAAGTGGATATGCATTATCTCCAAGTAACTGAGCCACTTTTTTAACCCAATCCAGTTTTAAGTCACATAATGCTCCACAAATCAAACAAATTGGCAATAAAACGAACAACGAAATTGTTTGAAATTCTGGTGATGAATATCCAAAATAATTCCATCCGCCATACACCGCAATGATAATTAAAACGGAAATGAACGACCCAAAAGGCATTTCCAATTTTTTGTTGTAATATTTATAATACAATTGAGAGATTTTCCGAAGGGTAATTTCGATGACCATTCCAGTCAAGAATCCATATAACATTCTTAACGTGCCAACATATATATTACACTCATCGTGATACGACCCCAACCCAATTCCAGTTGGTTTTGGACGTAATCTTTTACAGTATCCATAGTGATGTATTCCATTGGCAAAATCATATAAAATATGACCAGCTTTATAATTAAGAAACAACAATACAAAAAAGTTCAAATGTCTGAAAAGAAGTGCATACAATAAGCTACTTGCATATTCGTATATCATCGTCCATTGCAGTGGGTTTATTGGGAAGAATAACTGATTTTCTTTATTTGGATAAGAGATGTACCCAAGAAGAACAAGTGCTTGAAGTCTTGGTCACTGATGTTGTGATTTGCAGTTAGAAATGTCGCACTTAACAAACAGGTTCCAAAAAGTTGCATTGGGAAGAGTCGAAATAATCGACGTAACATGAAAAGTATTGGGA